ATTTAGGTATTGTTTCTTTTCCTAAATCCTCACCGCCTAACCCTCTAATTTTGCAGGTTTATTTTTTTTTATTTGTTCCCTCATTTTAGTTAAATCATGGGTTAAGGAACAAAATTAATGAAACATGGGCAGTGGACACAACTTAATAAGTCGTAGGAATGAATTAACAAGTTGTAGGAATGAATAGCCTAGCCTATCTCTGTCCTGTGTCCCGTAGCCCTGCAAAGCGCAGAGCCCGATATGAAACAATTATCTGGGTAAATGACTTAGTTACTACATTGCTATTGCTTTCCATGTTGAATAACTTTGTGTTGTTTCTATTTTAATGTACTTTTAAAGTTTAAATCACATTAAAAGCTTAATTTGTACATTATGAATGAATGATGATGCATTTATATACTGTCACCGTCACTCACAGCCGCTCGCACGTGTTTTGCGCATGAGCCGCACGCAGCCCAAAATTAAACTGCTTAATCGACCATCGATAGCTTTAATCGATTGCATCTCTTATCGACAATTAATCGATCATCGATTAATTGTTGACATCCCTAGTCTCAAGTAATGTAAAACTTCTCCAGGCTCCCAAAACACCCTCGGACCCCAGAGGGTTAATAGTTGCCTAGGTTGTTACCACTACTTTATTCAGAGTACATGTTTCCTTCTGGTTAAGAATAGTGTTTTACAAAGAGGGGAAATGTTGTGTCTCAAGTAATTCCTTGTGCTGCCGCTAGAGATGCTGAGTAGGGGGACGAATGAGGGGAGTTAAAAAGAGAAGAAGAAGAAGGGTATGTTTAGCGTGAATGTGAATTTGCTGTTCAGAATAAATGCAAGGCCTCAGAATATAGATACGGTGTTGTGCTTCCTTTTAGAGATCTAACAGCCTGCAATGTACATCATCAGCTGTTTTATCTTCAGGAGCTGCTTGTTTGTATGCACATGGAAGATAAACACTGAATGCACTCATTACATTGCATTCATGGTAAACTCTGTTCTTGCTTTATTCAAATCCAGTGCGATGAGATAATAATAATGGTAATAATAATAATAATTACTGCTGAAATAACAAATGGCAGCTTCTGTCCTGAGCTTCTAGGTGGGCAGTAGAGGCAGATATTATCAATATATTTTCCTCCTCTGCTGAACACCTTGCGACTTTTGACAAGACATATGTAAAGCAAGACAGGCCTGGGAGTTTCTGCACAGCATGGGATCTGTCCAGACGCTGCTCAGCAGTGCTGCTGGAGGATGTGTTCTCTCCTCTCTGAAGAGGGTGTGAAGAAAATAGGATTGCAAGGGCTCTTTCTGTCACTTGCTTCAGAGAATACGCCAAGTAGTGCTCCTAAACACTAGCACTCTATTTTATTTCTATTCTGTCTACTTGTTTTCTTTTATTTATAATATTTAAAAAAACTTGAACCTCTAACACTAGCACTCTCTATTCTATTTCTATTCTATCTACTTTTCATTCTTTTTATTTATTAGAATTATGCTCCCCTGTGAATGGGTTGCTTAGTAGGCCACTCTAGTATGACTCAGCGCTGAAGTAAAAAATACAAGAAAATAAAAAAGCTCCCCAACAAAATTAAGGGTGTTTGTGGGGTGAAAAGAGGCTGTAGCAAGCGATTACATCAGGCTCTAAGGCTGGACTGATGACGTGACTGACACATTTCACTTATATTTATGGACTTTCTTCTGACAGATCCGGCACAGGGCTTGTGGACAGAGCTGCTGAATTCATACTGGTCATAATATATTATACATATTGTATATTGTATATTATTATAAATTTTATTTATTTTTTCCAAATGTTGTCCCTGGCTAAAGATTTTCTACACTTTCTTACAAGCTGAGTGTTTTATCTCCTATATCTTCTTACATAATAAGATAATTAACAATTAAATCAATGTATAACTGCACAGCCTTAATTTGTGACACCAAAATAAGCAAATCTATAAAGATTAAAGAACATGAATGATGAACTGACACCAGCTGTGATTAAAGAAATGACATGTGCAAATTTTACAAATGCAAATGTCATTCATACAGACAATAAAACGAACATATAAACATCATTAGAAATCTGTTTGCTGTCAGTTTTGACCCCCTCACATTCATTCCTTCATCTTCATCTTCCACACTGAGCTCTACATCATCAGCTCTCACACAGAAACACACAAACCTCCTCAGCTGCTTTAGTAAGTGTGTCTCACACACGTCTCCTGCTCACTGCCAGAAATGTGATTCTCTGAGATTTTACCCATTTTGTAGCATTGGTAAAACAGCACATGCTAAAATCATAAATGTGATCATGTTTTGAAAGTGCAGTGATTGTTTTCAGTGTTACTCACCGAACTGATCTGGATTCTTTAACCACAGGAAACAGATTCTGAAGAACTTTATCTGCTGTATGTCGTGCTCCAATAAACTGTTTCAGATCAAACACATCCATCTTCTGCTCTGATGTCAGCAACACATAAACCAGAGCAGACCACTGTGAAGAGGAGAGTTTGGTTTCTCTTATTTCTCCAGATTTCAGATAATCTTGGATCTCCTGCATCAGTGAATCATCACCCAGTTCATTCAGACAGTGGAACAGATTGATGGATTTCTCTGGAAAGCGATTCTGCCTGATCTTCTGTTTGATGTACTGAACTGTTTCCTCTTTGTTGTAGGAGCAGCTTCCTGTCTGTGTCAGTAGTTTTCGTAAGAGAGTCTGATTGGACTCGACTGAAAGACCCAGAAGAAAACGCAGGAAAAGATCCAGATGTCCATTCTCACTCTTTAGGGCCTTTTTTAAAGCTCTCTGATGCAGCTCAGATAATGAATTATATTTCTTCTGGTTAAAAGGCAACAGACTTTGTTTGGTTTGGTCAAACACATTGATGTTGTTGATTTTAAAGGAGAGGTGTGCATATAGAGCTGCTAGATGCTCCTGAATGCTGAGATGAACAAAGCAGAAGACTTTCCCCTGATACAAGCCCAACTCC